ATGATGTGGGTGGACCTGTTCCCCAAGTCCCTGGGACCCCCCGGACCCCCGTTCAACGTCACGCCACGCAAGGCCAAGAAGTACGTGTACGAACACGCAAACATCGAGTCTAATCCATCAGTCATTCAAACCATCTGTCTCTCTCTCTCTCTCTCTCTCTCTCTGTCTGTCTGTCTGTTTGTTCTTGTTCAGGTTCTTCCTGCGTTGCGTCATCTGGAACACCATGGACGTCATCCTGGATGATGTCAGCATCAGTGGCGAGAGGATGAGCGACATCTACGTGAAAGGGTGCGAGCTCTCCCTCTCTCCTCTCTGATTCTCGTCCCCTCGAGTAAAGAAACATCAGTAACGTCGTCGTTGTCTCCGTCCTGTGTTTGTCAGGTGGCTGGACGGTCACGAACACATCAAGCAGAAGACGGACGTCCACTACCGCTCTCTGGGCGGAGAGGGAAACTTCAACTACAGATTCCTGTTTCCCTTCAACTATTTACCAGCGGAGCAGCTGTGTGTCGTCGACAGGAAGGTAGGAACGAGGGAACTACGTATTCCTTTTATTAGCTATCGCACCTGAACACCTCTTCGTTGATATGAACAACCCCACGTCCCGCTGAGACATGCTCTCGACCAATCACGAGCCTGTCAATCATGACCCCCTATTTTACATCATCAATTAAAACCAAACTTGTCCGAAACATTAAACAAACATCGGTGTGATAAGAATATATTTGACAAATGTTCCATCTACTAACATGGAGGAGGCAGCGTACTTTAGCCGTTTCGCTCCATTTCCACTCAGGTTCTGCCTAAATACAAAATCTTCAATTTAAACTTTACTTTTTAAACTTGTGTTGTTTCCAACTTTCTCGGAGTTTAACTCTTCTTGTTTTATTCAGTTGTGTTTATGATCGTTTTAACAGTTCTCGGTCGAGGAGACGCGACCAGGCCGAGCTCAGACAGAAAAAAAAACTGCACCAGTCACATCAAATAAAAATTCTCTATAAACACGTCGACACGGATCCAAGACTTGTGGCAAAACTATCAGACGCGAGACCTCCGACTAATCTGCAGTGATCTACAATTAACAAAATTAATGAGGTGACATTTTTACAAGGAGGACGAGTGAGTGAGGCTGTTATTGGATCTCTGAGACCCAACAGAAACACAGAGTGAAGAGCTAAAACAACATCACACTGAAAAGTGGAATAACAACGTGGCCGTCGTTTGCTTTGCTTGGCCCGGAGAGCGAGCCTCTTTAGCCGCTCGCAGCCGACATGTTTTACGATGGCGCTCGCCGGCTCGTAGCAGCATCCTCAATCAGGGAGCAGCTGAAAAGACGAGAGGGAGTTTTAATAAAAAGAAGCAGGGTGGAGGGTTTTTACTCCAGAACAGAGCCGGAGCCAGGAGCTGCGTTTATGACGCCTGAAGCCTCAGCGGTTGGTGATTTAATCTCTGAGTCACAGGACGGATCAGCAGCGCCATCAACACTCGGCTCCGTCAGCGTCACACTGTGATGGGCGAAGTCGCACTTTCTCGGAAAAACCTCAGAATTATTGTTGTTTTTTCCAGAATATTGACTTTAAGCGATTAAATTTCCACAGCTAACATTTCAACCAAAGATTCTTTTCCCCGTTTAAATTTGTTTTTACATTTGAATAATTTAGACGATTTATCGATTATCGGTATCGCTGCCCATTCGTTCCTATTTTATACAATATTTATAATTAATATATTTATTCTCAAAACCTCAGAATTGTGGGTTTGTTGGTTTGTTGGTTTCCATGGAAACATATCAACCTTAATTCTGCTGCGTAGCCTCTCGGACTTAAACTTTATTTCGAACCCATTAAACAAAAATAATCTCTGGATTTAAAAAAAAACCTTGAGTGAGTAAAAGTTGGTTTCTTGGTGTGATCAGTGTGTAATTAAACGTAATAGTGTGGCCGCACTTCTATGCCAACAACGTTTATTTGATTTGAGAGCGAGAGAGAGAGAGGCAGAGTCGGACGAGTAGAGCGAGGAGACGGAACACGACTCTGTACTGGCAACAAAGAGGAAGTTGATTGATGCTGTTAGATATTGCAGAGAGCAGTTACACACACACACACACACACACACACTCGTCCGTACAGCGTCCCACCCTGCCTGTGAAAGCTGTGGAGTGATATCTTAATGTACTTGGACTGAGTTTGTGGATAAAGTCACACAAGTGAACGCACTGACACACACACACACACACACACACACACACGACGGGTGTTTTACGCCTGGTGTGTGTGTGTGTGTTTGTGTGTGTGTGTGTTGTTATGACGTGTGTGGATTTAGACTGTGATGTGGAGAGTCAGTGTGAAGTCATGATGAAGACGACTCCATTCATCACTTTCACACACTGAACAGAACGGAGCAGATTGTTTCTGCGTATTCGCAAAAATCCGATGTGTCGTTGGACAAAAAACTTCAAATGATTGAAGGTGAAACTGAATTTCTCGTCTTCGTCTTCCACGTGTGCGGCTCCTCCTCTTCATCCTGAGGTATTTGTGTTCTCCCACTTTTAGAAACCTCATCAACGCGCTCACTCGCTCGCTCGCTGTGAATGTTCCAGACATTTTCCTGCAGTTTTCATCACGTGGACTCACTCTGACGTTTTAGCAGAGGGCTGCAGGAAAAGATCCAGAGCAACTGACTGGAACCTCTGGGTTCTCCGCTGCAGCCCCTCCAGAACGTGTCAGGAGAACGTTCAGGTGCAGCTCTGAAGCGTGAGCGTTGTAGATATAAAGGTCGACTGAGCGAATGGAAAGAGAAGCAGAGGAAAGTGTTTGTGAGTAAAGTCCATTAGCTCCGAGGTGACAGAGGTTTAGACTCTGTCTGACAGTTTAGTGTGAATCCACCAGAGGTGATAATAGCTTTAATACACACACACACACACACACACACACACACACACA